CAGTCGAGAGAAATTCTCCATGTATTTTGTTGATGATTGAAGCAAAATATATCAGTGGCGCCGCCTAGCGTTTTTCCCCGTTCACTGACAATGCCACAACAATGACAGTTTGTGTCAAATTGTTCACCGATATTTTCCCAGCATAAAAAAGTGTATGTGTTTGAAATCGCTTAATGTTCGATTTTCAATTTAGTTTTGGTTAATTTTCCGATCGGTTTTGCATTCGAATTCGACAATTGAAACATTGGGAAACGAACTCATCGAGAATAAAAACGAACCGAGAAACAAAAATATCAAATATTTTGCTAATAGTGAAACGTCGTCGCGTACACAACCCGTATTGTTATTGTTTCTTCCATCAAATTTTTTTGTGTGTATATTTTTTTCGGCATTTCTTTTTTTGTCTCGTATCGAATCTGCTTCCATAGACGGTTTCAGCAGTTTTTTTTTCTTCTACCGATTCGTCGATGCAAAAATTGTTCATAATTGTTTTTTTTCTTCAAATGATCTAGTTTTTGTGAATAACAACAACAGCAACACGCAAAACAAAATATTGCCATTGAATTTTCAACAAAAGCGTATTGTTGAAACCTTCGATTCCAAATAAATAAGCACTGAATCATCAAGTTATTTTGTTCTGTTCGCCAAGAGATTTCCGTGCAATTAACAAAAACACTGGCCTAGCCTTTGGAACATCTCTATTTTTCTCGTTCGTTTGTTTGATCATTTATTTAATTCGATTTAAAATTGCAAAGGGAATTGTTGTTGTTGTTGTTGCTGCTGCTGTGTTTTTTGCGCCTGTTGGGAACGCAATCGTGTTGGTTTGTTTTGATTTGCCATTGCGTTGCTTCTGACTGTGCGGTTTTATATATGGAAAAAAACTGCGGCAGCCATAGGTAAAAGGGAACATCGCACGCAAACACAACATCATGTACCAGATAGTGTCGGCATCAATAGTTTTGACCACTTGAAGTGCCATTGTTGTGTATGAGTTTTTAATTGTAGCGAATGATGTTCATTAAGTTCGACATTCTTGCTATATAAATACTTTTTCTTAGTTTATTCGTTCAGTGTAGCAGCAGAAAAAAAAACTCAGAACTGTTGCGAACATTTTACAATGAATGTATGAATAATTTGTTCTTGCTCTGATTGTCATCAACAAATTTACGAACAATTATGACACTGAAAGCCCTGGCCCAGATCATTCATTGTTTTTTGTCTGCCAAAAAAATCGTGTTCGAACAAAGTGCAAAATGTTTGATGTCTGATGGCTTTTTCTGCCAAGATATTGCTCATTTCAACCTGTTGTATGTATTTTACTGTTTGCATGTTTGCGAGATGAACCATTTCAAAGCATGTACATTTTTCGGTGGTTGAATATATGTCAAACGATGGAAATACCAAAATCCATCGTCGCGTCCCTTAGCAAAAATCTGACCGGAAATAGTCTGTCAACAGCATCGTCTGCAAAAAGTTTTTCACCCAGCTCAAATTTGTGAGCTCAAATTTGTGAGCTGTGCGAGACAACTAGTTTGTATTTTTTCCTTTTGATAAAGGGCATTGTGACTGACATTGATTATTGCCTTCTTACTCTTCGATCACAACTTTGTTGTTGTTTTTTCGTCATTCAAATAGCTAATTGAGCTCGACACCGAGAAACCAGTTTTTTTCTTTTTTGATAAATTAAAAACAAAACGTCGAAAGCACAATTAAATTGAAATCAGTCAATATAGTATTGCGATGGCTGAAAGTAGTTTTTAATTCAAATACAATATTGAATAGCTCGAATATGTCTGCCTCTTCTTTTCTCCTACTTTTTTCAACTTTTGAGTGCCTATTTTTCTATTTATCTTCAAATTCAAAGACAATAGCTGAGCTAGGGTAATGTAATTTTTTTCTCACTCTTTTTCTTACAGATTAGCCTTAACATTCCCGAACAGAGAGACAGTCCAGAGCAGCGCTTTGCTGTCGACAGAATTCTCGTTTCGCCTGTTATCGAAACCTCCGTAAAAAGGGTTAGTTGCGACAATTGTTCATTGCGTTCATTGTATCGATTGTATCATTCATTTCGTATATCAAATTCTCTTCCTTTACGCAGCTCAATTCTGTGGTTCAGTGGGTTCAGTGGATACTCGAATTGACGTGGATAATTGCTTTGGCATCACTCCAGAAGGAATTTTCTACCTATCGATCACAAAAGGCACTCGCCACAGACTCACCATGAATCAGAAAATGAATAGATCCCAAACGTAAGTATTTTTTTCTGAATAAAAAGAAACGGCACCCATCCAATCGATTTTAATGATATGTTTCATTCAATCGACAGGTTTATCGACGTTTTATTGAAATGCCGTTTTTTTTTCTGTAGGTATTTCCGAATACACACGCTAAGATGTATAATAACATCAAGTCATGCCATGATTTCGGCACATAATCAAATTAATGCATCTCAAGCGATCGCCGGATTCAACACAGAATTCCGGTGTGAATTCAACAACCTTTCGCTTGCTTTCTCTCTCTCTCTTCCTCTCAGTGTCAGATCGGTGGGTCGTATTGTACGAACAATGACCAAAGGTAAATGCGCACAAGTACATAATTGCCAATAATTTGGTTGTCCGTATGAACGCCCTGCCTGCGATCAGCCACTTCAATTGTTTGCTATTGATTGTGGGTCGGTATTGCAAAATCAACCGACTACGACTAAAAAAAGTTTTTTCAGATTGAAAAAAAGGGGAAAAAACATGTGTGCTGTTGGCTAATGTCATTTTCATCATTAATTGTTTTTTGTTACTATGCTCACACTCGACACTCTTTCCATTTGTTATTTAGCCCAATCCAGTCAAGCCGAAATGCACACACAATAGTATGCACAAGCGGGCGATGCCCATAAAAAACACGGAGAGTGACTTTCGATTTCTTCTTTTTGTCAGGCAGTCAGTGCGGTGTTGATCGTCAGGAATTCCTCATCTATTTCGTTGTTGTTGGTGTAATTTTTTGGCACAATTAACCTGCACTTCATTGGATCGAACCCATATATGAACCATTGCGACAAACAAATTCCCTCAGAA